TAACGGTTGGACTGGATGATCGTAAAGGTCTTTTCCAACCTAAATGATCCTATTATTCTATGATTTATTTTGAGTTTTGCATATGCTACCTTTAATACAGCACAAAGTTTGATATCCTGAAATGCAGCAGTGTATCAGCCAGACATGTCCTTGTAAATTAAACCTGCCCTGAATGAACACCAAAAAAACCAGACACCTTGTCTGGTTTTTACTTTTCATTCTGAGTGAGATGAGCCACAACCGCAGGCACAGGATGCAGCAACACAGGCAACGCTGAGTTCATTCCTCTGCATTACTGATATCTATATTAGGAAATAATGAGTTGGAAATCCTAGAAGAAAATTTGGAGGGTTAACATTCTTCCTTCCAGGGTGACTCTCCTGTAAGAACTTGCTAATAGCAGAAGACATTTTGTCAGGCAGGATAGATTAGGATGTGCACTGGGATGGAAGTATTCAAGTACTATTTCATCTGTCTTTCTCTCTTGCTCCTCCTGTTTCAACTATGAGGAGCTTCCTGTCTGAACGGATTGCAGTGGCTATCTCTGTATTTCAGATAAGCTTAAGACTCATGTAAAATGTGGTGCTGCTAATTACTCAAGACGTAATTAGCCCAAGGAAATGAGTCGCACATAAATAATGTGGAAGTTCAGCTTCATGACTCAAGAGATAAATTCATAGCCTTTTCAGAGTTGCCTGTCTTTAACATAAAATAGCAGAAAAGGATTATTAAGGAAGCTCTTCAAAATTCCCATTACCCCACTAATGAAGATTTAACACATTGCCCAGAAGACATGGTTGATCTTCACTCTGTAAGGTCCTTCCACCACATCAGCATTTCCATATCCCCAGCTGCTCTCATCAGAGAGGAAGCCAATAGTGACGTTGAAGAAGCAACTTATCTGCCTCCCAACTGAGAGTAAAGTACTGTAAGCACAGTCCATGCACAGCAGTGGGTAGGTAGTTAAGAGTGTTCCCCTTCATTAACTGGACTTCAAGTAAGCCACCTCTTGCATGCATGCCACAGGCTGCTCTGACCTACCTGGAGCTGTTAGGGTAATTAAAGTTCACTTCAGGATTGCATGCGTCAAGGACTGCACAGTAGAAAGGTGAAGTTTGACTTCATTTCCTATAAAGCTGCAAAGGACCAAAATCATGTAAGACATCTATAAAACAAGATTGGTTTGGATATTTAAGACAAGTTTCCCTCTATCCTGGGCACAGAAATGTTTGGCTTCAGTAAATGCCAGAGGCAGTGCTTGTATCAGCTGAGACCCAAAGATGTTAATGAACAATTTTCCCATGTTTTTCTTGCAGCCTCACTGAAAGTTGCAGGCTTCTCAGCTAGCTGTAACTCCTATTTTCTCTTGTTCATTTTTTGGGGGGGGTTGTTGGGTTTTTTTTACTTCAGAAGATGGCATTTTGTAAGTAATGAACAGCCAAACCTTAGGAAGAGTTGAATGAATCTCCAAATTATAACCCAGATTTTTCTGATAGTCTTATATCTTACCTCAGTGGCAGAGGTGACTGCTAAGTTCCCCTGGCAAAGATAAAAATGAACAAATAAATTAATGTGTGAAGATACAAGTGGGATTTCTTAACCAACTCATATACTCTTCAAGTTTTTTGTTGTTTAGCACTCCTTTGCCATCCAGGTCTTTAAGGATTAGCTATGTTGTCCTTACTATACTCATCTTTTTTGCCTTGCCTCCTGCCTCATTGCCAAGTTTCAGAGATATTATATTTGCTCCACCTTAATCCATTTTTTACACAATTTTTTTTTTTTTTTGTAAGCAATGGTAGTATTATAAGGTGACACTTTTAGTAACAGCCTAGATAGACACAGCGGAAAATCATTCCACTGGCCAAAATTACACACATTGATAGTCTGACATCAGATTCTTAAGTGGTGTGTGTCATGTAACATAAAACTATACTGTTGGGCTTCAGAGATTTGGAGGGGAATAAATGGCCAACCTAAGGCGGTTAGTAGTTGATTATAAACCCCATATATATGTATAAGAAGATAAACTAGTTATCTATATGACTAAAAGGCGCTTAACTTTTTTATCCATAATTCAAACACAGCATGAATATGTGAAATATTTCATCAGTAAACGGAAACAAAGCATATGAAGAGATATTTAGTTATTACTGGGTAGTAGGACTTCCCCATGCTTTTACCAGTACACACACCTGCTTTATGAGAACTACCTCCTTGTAGCTCTGAGATGAGCCATGCCCCAGTGGCTCCAGAGCAGCAGATGGCACCTCTCTTGCCATGTCTGAGTAGTGCTTGTGCACAGCTGCAAATCTGTTTTCTCATTCTTTCTTTTACAGTCAAGTAAGTTCTGCAGTGACAAGAAAGAGAGCAATTTTGGTTAAAAGCATATCTAGCTCAACAGAAAATCTGGCAAATGGGGGGAAAGGAAATTATACAATCGAGAGCAATCAGAAAATGATTTTGATGGGTGATTACTATCAGAGTGCAATGTTTCTACATGGATCCACAGGGCTTGATATGAGCCCAACTGCAATTTGACATTTGTATAAAATCATCAGTCCACATAAAAGACCAGCTTATGAATGACATGATTTTGTAGCATGCTGAAGAAGAAGGAGGACTGAAGGGACCAGGTATTTTCAGTCACTGAATACAATGGGTCTCCAGCTCAGCCAGAGCTGTCAGCTGAAATTGTGCCACTTTTTCTTTAAAATGAGCATGTCAGAATATGCTACTGGCTCCACTCTCTAAAGCTAAGATTCATTAGTATATCAATCACTAACCTTGAACAAGGTAACCCTTTAACCAGAGAAAACTCAGGTCTGTGGGGTTAAATGAGTTAAATAAATCTGTCTGTGCCCACTGTGTTCAAGTAGAGCTGGTACTTTCCTCCCAGCGTGTTCTCTGCCCACTATTTTTCAGTGGTCCACTGAGTTGCAACAAATCCTACATCAGCCTCTATTGGTCTTTAGTGGTCACTTTCCTCCTGTCATGTCTGAGACTGGGATATAGATCTATTTTCCTACATGCACTGATCCTTTCAGGATTCTCCTAAATTTCACCGAGGCTGCAGACAGATGCTTGCTGCTCCTATAATCCTACCCTTCCTCTATCTACATCCACCACACTGTCATTTTCTGGGAAAATGAAATACTCCTCTCCCTCCAGAGTGCCTCAGTTAATTCAGTGTGCAACTGCTAGGATAAGGCACACAGCCAATACCATGTGCTAAACCATGACAAACAACACAAAATTCTCTCACACATGTTCAAATAAAATAGGTTTAATATAAAGATTTAACTGTATATATGTGCAATTTCATATTATACATTTAAGGGCAGGAGAAGAAACCACAATTACAAAATAAAAATTACTTTATAAAAATTGGTGACTATGATAAAAATGTTGGTGTTACAGTGAGAAAGGAACTCGATATACAATACCCCCCATATTAATAGTTTGTGAAACTGTAAAGAAAGAAATCATGAGAAGTGAAACTAATTTCCTATTCATTTGACATTAGTAGGACTGAAGCTGGATTACCACCATCACTTATTTATGAAGCTGCTTTTTCTAAAAAAAAGTTGAAAATTTATGAAGCTCATAAACCACCAGACAGGCAGATAATTGAAAAGTTGGTAGAAGTCATTGCAGTGTGACACTCAGCGTGGGGTTCAGCTCATTAAGTGGGGTGCCTGAAATTTAGATGTCAATATGTAGCTATCTCTCTAACAACCCTTTACACTAGTCATCATTTAGGGTTTGTAATTGTAGGTGCCTACGGCCATTTTGAGACTCCCTGGGGTTCCCAGAAGTGTTAGGTTGGGTGCTCCAAACTGCACCCATCTCAGCAGAGGCAGCCAACCCTCACCTGGGTCTCCAAGTTCCCTCATTCTGATGGAGAAGGCCACAATAAAAACAAGTAGCCAAAAGCTAAATCTAGACAAATTAAAGTGAGAAATGATACACACTTTTTGGTGACTGTGATTAACTGTTAAGCAACAAGTGTAAAGTAAAACATCAAAGCTTGTGTCAGATTGTTTGTATTTTGGTTACTTCAAATCAAGACTGGATTTGAACCAAAAACCAAACTTAAAATAATTTGACATGGCTGAAGTTGTTAGCTCAATGCTTAGGTTGTGAAGAGGCATTTGTTGAAGGGGTATCATTTTTACAAGAAAATAGAAAACCAAAAGAGAGACAGATTAGGTGGGGAGAGAAAAACATCTTAACTCTAATTGTGTATCTTTCTCTACTTTAGTGTCCCAGATCCTCAGCTCAGAAATTTATTTAACTCTCACATGGGGGATAACAGGGAAATTAGTCTAATTTCTTTTGCTGTGGGAGAACAATACAGTGGCAACATGTACAAGGCAGCCAATTCTAATCTTTGAACTTTGTTTTATTTCATTTTTCTCTCTCTTAGGTTTGTTTTGTGTATTTCTCACTTAGATTTAATTTTCTTAGCTTTGATGCTGCTCTTTGTGATTCCTGGGTGAGATTTAGTCACTGGCAAAACTGCTCAAAAGGATTTGCATTTCTTGTGTGCTTGTCACTGTTTATGATCCTTGCTTCTCCCTTTTTCAAAAACTGTTGTTTTATTCACAGATGTGGAAAAGAATGGAAAGGAAACCGTTGCCACATAAGTGCTAAGCCTCTTCAGCCTCCAACTTCAAGTCTCCTTCAAAATGGTGGGTCTGTAAAAAGAAAAAAATATATTTCAATTCAATCTTTGAGTGTTTCCTCTTACTTATTTCTGTCTTTGATTGCTCTGATTTTGCAGATATTTGGATTGGGTTGGGTATCGGTTTCTTGCTGATTAAAATTACAGCTGCTGCCTTGTATTTCCTTTCGAAGAAGAAAGTGCCAGAAACGTAAGTGAAACTTTTATTTTGTGTAAAGCAGACATAAATGTGGCACAAAGCAATGGCTAACTGCCCAGTCTCATTGGTTTCAACTTTTAAATCTCCCCACAGTCCTTCATATGCAAGACTAAGCATAAAACCTAGCTTTGCAACAAAAGCTGACCTTAGTGGACCCCAGTCTGGAAACAATGAGTTATGGCTTGACTGCTTAGACTGTTTTGATTGCAACATTGTATGATTATTCTTAAATTATAAAATTCATCAACCACCTTAATAGCAGTAGCCCTGATTTTTGTACATGATTGTTAAATGTGAGAAATAAGAGGTATTTATGGTTTCTCGAAACCTCTCATGTTCAGTTTCTTAAAGGTAGATTCACAGCTCTTCCTGAAGCTACTGAGTACTGCATATACCTGGTGGGACATTTTTGCCCTAAATATTTCCATATTTACACACATCTGTGAACTTTCCCTGTGATAACTGGATGGGATAAAAATGTTTTTTTTCTATTTTAAAATATTAGGGGTTTTCATAAAAAGCTTTAATAAATTAGAAAAAATGCAAGCTGTAAGACTCCAGAATTATGTGATTTTTTTTAGAAATCATAGTGTTTGCCCACTCTCCTTCAGTTACTACAGACATACTCAAAATCTGACTTTCTCTTTTAATGTTGTATTAGTCTTCTTAATCAGTAGTTCTTTAGATGTGTCTCACCAATGTCACCTTATCCGTTCCTTCCACCCATTTCCCCTAACTCTTCATCTCACACCCATCATCCAATACTGTCATCTTGCACTAAGATCACCCCAGTACAGACCTCTTGGCTTGTGGTTCAAGGACCTGTCTTACTCGTGGTGAATGAGTGCTCTAGCTGGTGATTATTTATTTTTTCAAAAGCTATATTATTCCATCCAGTACTATGCTTGTGCAAAGAGCAACTAAATTGTCTTCTGACATCCTACTGCATAAAGTGCATCCTCAGTAAAGTAAAAAAATCAGCAAAATTGGTGGTGGTTTATTTCAAAATTTATTTCAAGTGCTTTGAATAACAGTACTAGTAGTACTAGAGATATCTCTTCATCCAGTTATTTGAGTTCAGAGTTTTTTAAGATACGCCTTAGACTGACAGTTCATTATTTCACAGATGTATTTCCTTGCCCTTCCTGTCAACCCTCTCATAATCTCTGCTTTCCCTTTCCTCCCTAATTTAAGATTCTTAAAATTTTTTTCCTGTTTCTTATTTTCCTCTAACACTTGTATTTCTTCTCTGCCCTTCTCTTGACTTATTCTGCTAGTTCCTTCTCTGTCATCACGTACCTACCACTGTCCCTTCCTCCTTTCAGCAATTCCTGTTGTGCATTGCCTTGTCCATTTTCATGTTGTTAGATTTCCCTCACCCCTCATTTTCTTCTCCAGAATTCATCTTCAAAGCTGTCTCTTTTCCTTTAAACTTGTGCTCTGCTATAGACCTTTCTCTCTTTGGGGATGTTGTTATCTCCCAAACTATCTACTGAACTATGCAGACTTCTGTCCTGACATTATTGCTGCTGACATGTCTCCTAACGCTTCATGCTACCCCTGACAGGTAGGGTTGTCTATGGACACAGAAGCAAAATATTAAAGCAGGAACATTTAGTGGTTGTGGTACTGTTAATTGAGTGCATAGTTTCACCTACTTCCTTTATGTCTGCTTCCTCTTCTGTAAAGTGGGAATAATCCACTTAATAAGCTTAATAATAAGAATTTCCTTATCTTACTTCACAGGGGCTTTAAGACTTAATACATTCGCATTTATACAACCTGCTAAGGTACATGTGGAAAGGCACCTGAGAAGCACAAGATTAGTTGTGTTGTAACAGCTACTTGGTTTTGGGGTTTTTTTTGGTAATTTCAATTAATATTTTTTCCAAAAAAAAAGTGTGATTTTTTTCTCAAAACATATTTGGTGGTTTTTTTAATCAACAAATGATTAATTATGCTACTTCTCCTGTGCTCTAAACACTCCCTTTTACCTTTTTCTTTCATAAATGCCTGCTTAAGGGTTACTGCACTGCCATCCACTTCTCTTATACCCATGTATCTCTATTCAAGGAAAATTTTTTCCCTTTTTTGTAATTATATATGCTAAAAAAAAATAAGAAGATATGAAAAGAATCAGAGATGTGAATAGAGGGTTAGAAAGTTTACACAGCAAAGCTCAATCTGGTCTTGATTGTTTTCACTGGAGCTGCCAAAAGGTAAGATATGATGATGAAAATTTCTGTGGTTCCAAGTTTTGTCTATTAGGAACTGACTAGGATTGTCAAATCATTTTGCCCACGATACAGAATAAAAAAACTTATTTTCATTGTTTTTAATCATAGTTGACTTAACATGTAAGTTAAAATGCATTTTATAGGCATCTTATCAAGAAATAATCTAGCTAATAAATGGCAATTTGAATGAGATTGTGAAATTGTGAAAACAATAAAATCTGAAACTTTGAATTTGAGAACATAAGTTCATCCAGGCAGTTTGTCTCTCCCTCTTCAACTACCTAGTGCCTAGAGTGATTTTTTATACAAAAATCATAGCTGGAAACATAGTAATAAATTGAGGCAAGTTGATCCTTGACTGCTTAATCAGTAATCAGAAGTGACTAGTCAAAATGCAGCCAATGTTACCATACTGAAGTTTGGATCTTTAAGATAAGGCTTTAGAATAAGAAATGACTTGTGTTTGCATAAGTCTGTAAAATGTACAATGTGACAGCACCACACAGAGGCATGAGATTTTACTCCTGATTTTTTTTAAGAGGATTTGATGAACTAGAGGAATTTAACTGTGCCCATGAATGATACTTTCCTACAATTCGTTTTCACTTCAAAGGCTTGTGTCTGCTTTCAGCCTTTGTGGGTCATGTTGTTTTCTTAAAGTCACTAGGCATTAGAGGCACTCCAGGAGTGCCTGCTTGGCCATCCTTTCACAGGGAACTTTTCACACACTTGAGCCCCTGTTTACTACCTTTTGATAAATCCTTTCGCTAGCTATTTTTAAATAATTTTTATTAGTGTCTCCTTTTTCCTTACTGGTGTAGAACCACACATATACTCATTGGCAGATGGTCCTCCAGAGACACATTAACAGTTGTAGGTGTTATCTTCCAGGACATTTTAAAATGGAGCACAGGTCCATCTATGCCTCAATGGAAGTAGCACAGAAATGTGCACAAGAGCTGGAGGAGAAGTTTCAGAGTTCAATAAAACTAATTTTTTCACCAGAAAACCAGGTAGCAGCCAGCAGGAGTAGGCTGGTGACCCCTTAGACAATTGCTTGCTGAGAAGTTGTCACTAACAGTGGTGAGAATCTGAGAGTCCCTCTTTTTCTTCACTGGAAAAAACGATAGTGCCTTAACCCCTCCTTTCAACCCAGAAAGAATTCCCTGCTTCCCCTTTGGTCTCTCCTTCTTCTCCTTCCTTTGCAAGAGTTTCATCTGTGATCTGCAGGCTTTAAACTCTTCAGTGCCTGAGTGGGAGTTACTGGAAGTCATCATATAAGTTTATTTCCTAATGGACAAAAACAACCCGCCACATGGCTTGGCAGCAGCATACTTCATTACCACAATGGCATTCAGATATGCAAGCTACTTCCCAGCTCCCAGCTGGGGATATGTGGAACTTTTGTATAGGAATCCCAAATCAGAGGAAGCTTCTAAGTTTCTCATTCCTATTCATGCTCCAGAGATGACGTTTTCTAGTCCAGAAGGGAAGGCTGCCAGTTACTCCACTCCTTCAGTGGCATCGGTCTTTATTGACCAAATAGAAGCAAAGCTTCTTTTTAGCTTCCATTTCATTGCAGCTGCCTTCTCATGCTTCATTCTACTTTAAAAAGTGAGAATGTGAAAAGTGAGTGACTTCCCGCCCAGCTAAGCTATGCTTCTTTGCTATTGCCTCCAAAGCAGTCAATGTCCCTGGATCCTTTCAGTTTGTTTCTTTCCTATTCTTCATCTGTGCCATCAGCTGCAATGCTAATGTACCACAGCTGTTATCAGTCCTGTCAGTCATAATGAACATAGAACATTAAATTTTCCAAAGAAGTGCATCAGTAATGTATCTTGCCACACAGGCAACAAAGTGAAAAACTGAGGTGCTCTGAGAAAATATTTTAAAATGATAGAAAATCATGGGAAAACAGGACACATAGAGGCCATTTTTTAGCCTGCTACAGGACAGACTCAATTGTATCACTTCTGGGTTTGTACTTGAAGACCTCTAGCAACTTGAATTTGATGGCATCCTCAGGCAACCCTGGTACCCTAGGTAGAAAGAAAGTTTACTATTGGAAAGTTTTTTTCTAACTGCTATGTCTGTTTACAATTTAAGTTCATTCCTATTCACCATGGACAAGAACAGATTATTCCCTTCCTCCTTGCAAAAAGCTTTTTATGTACTTGAAGGCAGTTGTCATGCCTCCTTACAGGCTGCTTTCTTTAGGCTAAACAAGCTCAGTGCTTTCAGCCTTTCTTCATGGTTAAGGTTTTCTTACAATTATGATGATTCCCAGTTGCTGTTGCCAGGATTTTCTCCAATTAGAGCATATGCTTCTGGAGGTCTAGTGTGGAGGAACGGATAGCGTATTCCAGGGGAGGCTCTCCAAGCAGATCTGAAGGACTGTCAGAGGTCATTGCTGACTATGCCTCTGTTCCTGTATCCCAAACTGATAAACAGAATGACAATACAATTACATTCATTGAACCATTTTCAGCTTGTGAACTGGGAGACAGGTACTGTTCTTGTAGAATGAAAAAAAAAAAGATACAGTTATATGAGAAAAAGAAAAACAAACTAGGAAGCAGCAGCCACAACTGTTGTTTGGGAGTTACTATCCAAATCCACTCCTTCTTCTGTAGAATATTTTTTTTTTCTGAAGGATGAAACCAAGTGCTATCATCAGAAGTCTTCAGTTTTTCTGAAACATACATCTCTCAACCACCACACATAGGAAAGGTTGCAAAGAAACAAGAGGTGACATGCTGAAACAGAGCAAATCTCTTGGTCTATAGCCTTCAAGATCACCAACATGAAAGATGCAAAGGACTCGTTTAAAAAAAAATAAATAATTAGGTTTCCTAAAGTGACTCAAAAGGTACAAAGTGCAGACCTAGGAAGCCCAGACAGCATATTAACAGCCTAATCAAGCATCCAAGTGAATTGTAGATGATTCTAAATGCAGCTTTTGGAAAGTCTACCCTCCTTGCATCACACCTCCCGATTCTCCTGTGGGATGTGCAAAATATAGCCTACTTCTGCAAAACTAAATTTAGTGTAAAAGGCTTTATAAATGCTTTGGATATTGAGATCATGAGTTATAGTTTCTGTTTAGAACAGAAGCTTTAGAACATATATAAATAATTCTTTTAAGGGCTTATTTTAATCAGTAACTTAATTGTAATTAAATCTTTGGTCCACTAGGATTTTGTCATTGTTGTTATGGACCTGATGATAAACATGCATCTAGTTCTGTATTTCATACAAATGTGAGTATTGACTGAAAGAAATATTTGATTTTTCATTGAAAGCTACATTGAAAACTACAAAATTCTGACCTATTGCATCCAAACAAATGAAATCTGGATACTTTAATTTTCCATTAAAAAGCATGATGTTACTCAGTAGTCCCTTTATACACTGGCAGGTTTTTTGTGGAGCGTGCAAATTCCTCCCATCTCTGTGAAGTTGTAGTGGAGCAACCTATGACAAGGCAGTAGTTTTTGCTACTAAAGAATGCAGACGAGCTTAGCAAAGCTATGACCCATGTGACCTCATCCCAAGACGATTAATCCTCTACTTTCTTATTGTGGTATTTCTGGTTATGTTAGAAAACCCAGTTCTCTCTGAGCTGCCTTACCCACATGTTTGAGTCTTTTCTTTTTTTTTTTCCCTAAACCATCCTGTGCTTGACATTTTTAACCCTAATTATTCCTTGCTTGGTACAGTCTTCTGAACTTGGCTTTTATGGGTTTTCTTCATAAATGAGATTTATAAACATTTCACATTGATTAATTGTTCTGGACCATAATTTTTGTGAGCGATGTATTACCCTTGCTCTTACTGTACAATGGTAACACATACATAACTTTCTCCCCATCATGAGACCTTGTGATGGGCATATTGCTCTTTACTGTAGCAATAAGCTATCATTTTCTAGCAGGACCATGTTTCATTTATGTCAAGTAACAGCAAGCACTGCAAGAATGAGCTTAAATCAAGCCACTGCAATACATTTATTTAAACTGCCCAGTCAAGCAGTTTAAAATTAGGGTGTAAACTAGTGACCAGATGGCAACACTCACCCCACTGATTAATACTGCATTTTTATACTTTCCTCAGCAGTATCTATATTGGTGACAGAGTACGGGAGTGGGCATACCATTGCTTTGCTCTAATAAGGAAAGCTTTGAATTTCTAATTAACTAAAAATCTAATGTGTTGTGTTTACTTCTAGGGATGTATGCACAACATGTAAAGTAATGTGAATGTGTCATCTCAGTTCCCAAGCACAGACTACTTCAGGCAGTTACCACCTCATCCAACTGATGGATTATAGCACTTGTGTAAACAAGTGATTTAAATTTTCACTTGTATATTCTTTAAGGTCTTTTAAGTCATTCAAAATTTCAGAAATTTTTAAGGATAATTATTGGTATCCCTTAGAAAGAATTGTTTGCTACAGTCACAAACAGGGTGTAACCATATATATGTTTGTATAAATACATTCACATATATGCATCTATGTGTATATATGTGCAACATATATGTTACATGTAAGGTAATATATTCAAGGTGACTTCCAAAGCCCTGCTTTTGCAAAAAGGTTCCTAAGAACAGCATAGAACTTAAGAAAGCTTACTCTTCACTTCACCTAAATCTGCGGTGCATAAATTCAACCAGTGCTCATATTTTGGGCCATAAAATTCCCACAGTCCCTAAGGTTAGGTGCCCCACTACATATGCTCTTCATGATTCAGACCTAAAGTAGAGGGACACCTGAAATCTTCTAGACAACCTGAGCAAGACTCAATTTTCATGCTTGAGAAAACCCCCCACACATAGTCAGGACCAGTTTCAGCACTAAACACAGCAACCACAGACACGCTGTTGAAGAACTCAGCCAGCACTCTCTTTGGTGCCCACAGTTTGGCACAGTATCCTGCTGGTTAGTTATCCTCCTCGCAGAGGAAGCTGGAGATCTCTGTTCAGCATCCTTCCTGCTCTCAGGACAGACCAAAGTACTCAGCGTGTTCTTGTCCAAATAAGCAATATATACGTCTCTCACAAATTGCTCAAGTCCAATGGGGGAGTGGGGGATGAAAGAGAATCAGACCCGTCCCTATCCTTACAATTTCCTATTGGCACATTAATGTGGCTCCACTGTGAATTGTGTGACTTGTGTTGCCCTTTGGAAGTGTCTCCACTGATTGTAAGCAGAATTGATGTGCTTAATTCTGTATCATGCTGTTAGGCCACACAGTTGGTTTGTGATGTCTAAATGAGACACCAAAATTAAGGCATGCAAATCTGACCCTTTGGGCACTAGTTTAGAAGCAGAGCCAAGTTCCTTGAAAACTTATCTGAGTTTGCTTCTGGCCTCAGGTTTTCTGAGCCATGGTGTGATTTTAGAGTAAAAAAATCAATTCTGTGTACATTTTGTGGACTTTATTCAGGCGGATTAGCATGTGAATATACACTTAGGAGGCATATAAATAAAGTAATATAACATAGCTTCACTAAACTAACTAAAAGCATCAGAATATCATGATTTATTATGGTTAAGATCAAATGAACAAATCAACAGGTTCAATATTCAGCTCTCCACATTGCTGTGTCAAGTAATCAAACTGAATTACGAGACTGGCATTAGAAGGAATTACTTTCTGGCAGTCTTGTTGTGAAAGATTTTAAGGAGACATGTCTGTTTTAGTCTAAAACCCAGACTTAGATTCTTGCACTCATTTAACTCATAAGGCAATATATTTCTGTAGCCTACCTGTGCCTTCCTCCGAAGCATCCGTTATGGTTTTAGTTCTCTGCAAAAGAAATCAGGCGGTGTGTCTCCCCTGTGGCTCTTGCTGAGGAACAACAGCTTCCCTTCCCAACATCTCCATCAGCTGTGTTTCTGTGACTGCTCTTGTCCCCTCAGTCCTGCCTGCCACAGTAACACAGAACCTGTCTATCAGTTCCTAGGGAGACACTGCTTAAACCGTCTGCAGGAGCAGCTTTGGAATAGAAACACTTTTTAATACAAGAAAATCCATCTCTCAATCATTGAGATTGCATATTAGCTTTAGGGAACTTTTTATTTTAGAATACTGTACAAACACATCCTTCTATGTACACAAAGGCATGTATATGCTCTTAGTCATAAACACATTAGTGAAAAAAAACATAAATGCATCTCTTCAAAAGCAAAGATTTAAAAAAAAGTGTGTTTCTGCTTCATTCTTCAGTAATTTTAACTAATTCAGCTGTTGTTTTTTACATGGCATTGGAACGGTTTTGATGATTTCAAGCATTGTGGAATATTAGCAACCAGTCATCTATTTGGAATAAAAATTTAGATGTAGGCAGAAAGTTCCATCCCCAAATATCCTTTGCTTTTGCAGAATTAATGGGATTAACTGCACAAGTCATAAGTGCTCCAAAATAGAGGAATATGTGAAGGCCTCTGTCAAACTTCTAGCTGAGGTAGTGGACATGAGACCCATAATTAGTAAAATTTGTCCTTTTCATCTGTTATAAATTGCTTAAGGCATTGTGTTTATTCATGAAACCTTTGCATTCCAATAATTTCAGTGATTCTTTAAACATTTCTGGTTTTGTAGCAAAAGGTATGGGGAGCTTTTATAGCTTTAAAACTAATTCTGATTATTTTGACCTAAAATGCAAGTTGTTTCTTAATTCTTGGAGAAAAAAGTTCTTACAACAATTGAATAACAAACGTGTTCTTGAACTCGGAGCCTAAGACTGATGTTAATTACTGAATTGCTAGTCTGACAGTAGCAAAACACAGAACATGATCTCATCACATGTAAACAAATTATAACAATGCAACTTCTTAGCGAATATCATGTTTTATTTAATGTATAGCACTGTACTTCCATTTTATGAATACCGAATAGCTCTATGCATATCCAAAAGCATATATATATTTTTAGCAGCAACAATTGAAAAAATGTTATTTTAACCTACACACCACTTACTTACACAGAACTTTGGTTTAATTTCATTCATTTCATTAGAGGTCAGTCGGAAATATATTTAGCCATCTATATTTTTTGACTCAAGTCTTTTCAGCCTGAAACTGTTTAGTTCTTTGACAGCCTGTGTGATATTGTGGGTCATTTTGTTGTTGTTTGCTTGACTTATCAAGGAAACTGGAGGAAACCGCTAATGGTTCTTTTGCCAATCCATTGTACAAAAACCTTAGCTCATCTGGAAAAGTAAAGGTAAGTAGCAATAGCTGTTTCTATACATTCAGAAAAATGTGAGGGTGTAGTCCTCAAATAAGTTTTCCATTAAAAAAAACTGTGTAATTCCTCACTGAATGCTATTTAATAAAAGAAGTAAGAATTAAAAATTACTGCAGCACTCAGGTCAGTTCCAGTGCATTTTCCAAACTTCGGCAGATTTGAAATCAGCTCAGTTTTGAGAACATCTTGATGTTTATAACTAATACTGACTGTGGGCTGCTGAATCTGAGAAAAAAAAGAGTTTTGGATGAAATATTTAGCCTGACATATAGAAGAAAAAGCTCGTTAGAACTTGTCTCCTTTTGCTTCTGGAAAAAAAATACAAAGCAAAGACCCAACAACAAAAAACCACCACCACAACAAAAACAAAATGCATGATTCAGCACCCAAGTTGCCTTTGCACACTCACTTAACTTTAATGACATAGTTTATACCACTTCCCAATACCTTAAATGTACATTACTATTCCCTTCACTGTAAAATTCACCTTGACATTGAACAAACACTTGGTCACACATTATCCTAATACCATTTGTTGATCATAATTAAGAGACTGCTAGAGTAACAAAGAAGTTTGTGAATAAAATGTATATCTAAAAGTGAACATATTGCAGCAAAAGATTTCAAGGCAAGATTTAATTATCAAATTACAGTGGTGGCCAAAATTTATGTTTTACATTTAACAAGAGAAATATGATTGACTTAAAATGCAGCTGTCTCTGCTATTTGATTTATCATTGAAAATAATACAGAAATAACACCTTGTAGCTAAAAGGAGCAAAAAAAAAAAATGTTTAAAACATCCTTCCTGCCCTCATTTTGATACTACCTTTATTAGCATAGAAAGAACTAGGCTTGGTTTGAAACAGAAAATAAAACTTCCTTGTCCCTTCCAAAGTCAGTAATATAAGATTCCACTGCAGCTTTGAATAGGATTAACTATGACATGCCATTTACTTTCTATAAAAGGTTCCTTACACCTGATTTTAGAGACATTAGATCAAATTAATTCACTTACAGGTTGGGGTTTGTGAGAGCTCCAAGCTGGAAACGTTCCCATCACAATCATGTCCAATTTATCAGGACATTTTTATTTTAGTTAAAATAGATTTCTGACAGGCTTCGTTTAATAGCAAGTTGAAAAACAGAAGCACAGTGTCAGGAGAGACATTTTCATAGAAGACAGCCTCAGGCACTGTGATTGAAGTCCAGGGCTGTACCAGATTTTCCTCTGTTTTCTTTAAGATTGGGAAAATATGTGTTTTCACTAATTCTTCCTTTAAAAGGGAAACCAAGAGGTATGAGTTTTCGCTGACTCTGACGAGCCCTAAATCTGAATGGTGTATCACCAATCAAAGGATATGGTAAAACATGAGCAACAGCTCTTATCTCCAGCTGAATACCCACAAGTTACATAGTTGAGGACGTCTGTAAGTTTTGTAAAGAACAATTCTCCCTGGACCTTTCTGAACACCGAAACCATGAGGGCTTAGTGGTGCCACACACTTGCTTGTAATATTGCCTCATAGTTTTGGATCCATAGAGCGTGTTACTCAGCCAGCCACATGGAAGGATATTTCTGAAATACTATTTGCAGCTCGCTAAAAATATTCTGAAGCAGTTTTTTTCTTTTTATAGTCTCCTGGGTATGCCCCCTCACCCGTTGTTCAAATCAGTGTTTCTCCATGGCATGAGGTATGTAATAACACATTTCTCTTCTAAAGTAGGGTATGTGTTGGGCTATTAGATGAAATTAATTTGCAGAGGAAAGGGAAAAATGTCACTTAAAGTGAATGGTATATTGCTACTCATAATGTTAGCACTTCTGGAAATCTGAGAAAGATGACCAGGGTTGGATTGGCTGACAAGGACCTCGTAATAGCAATTTCATTAATGCTGCTTACAGTAGCTACATGTTACACCATACAGTAGTTCAGCACCTTCCAGTAAGACAGATGCTGAAGAAAATGTTTAGAACTACAAAAGTCCTCACCTGAAGAGTTCATATTATCTCTTTTCTCATACATTCCTCATTCAAGAAAATTAGAACCAGTCATTTAAATTACAATACTATGTACCAAAATTAGTGACCCACTGCAATTACACTGCTGTACACAGATTGCCTCAAAATAATACTATATATGTATTAAAGCAAGAGCTCTGGAGACAAGTAAAACAAAGGTGGGCATGGGTACAGAAGGTTAAATGACTTGATCAGTTGTATGTGGTGGACAATGGTTTCAGTGGAGCTATGCTAATTTTTATCAGCTGAAAATCTGGTCTAAAAAGTTTAGAGATTTTATAGTTTGCTTTGAACTTAACATCTTATGTTACTTCTGTAATGAGTCTACAGCCATTCATATGTCCATTCTAACAAACGAATTGAATGACTTGCTTTTTAAATTTCTTTTATGTTTTTTGTGTTAGTATCTGTTTAATGAAGATGTGAATGCTACTTCTTTTCCAAATCCTCTCTATGGTGAAGCACCAGAAGACATGGAGAAATTATGCAGTTCCTTGAAAACAGACATAAAACAGGATCAATATTGCTTGTAACTCTTTGCCTGAAGATTTGTTCTAAAATCTGAAAGTATGTCATGATACTGTAGCATTTGCAATATGAATGAATAACTCTTTGCAGAATAACTCTTTTATTAAAATAATTATGTTCAGAAAGTAACTTTATATAAAAAATGGAATCCATACATAAGTAAAACATATATATATAGTCTTCTGTCATTTCTATTGGTGCAGAAAGAGATTGGTAACTATAATTATGAATTCATTTTACATTTGTACAGTTCAAATTCCAGCATGTTAATAAAATGTTTAATCAAATCCAGATTCTTGAGGTTTGGGAATCATAATTCTATGTCTATTATTTGAGAAATGATGACTTAAATACTTCTGTAATTTTGCATTAGAAAGGGATTTTAAAAGGCTATTTTAGCATTCCGAGGGGCAGAAGCAAAAGAAAAGTCTTTGTATAATTAGAAACATATCAAGCTAAATCAAAGATGGTCATGAATCATGGATTTGTATATCAGATCAGCATGTGATTCATCAATGTGACATACTAGTATGTACATTTATTTTTTAAAAATATGTTTATTATTAACCTCGATAATCATATGTGACCAAATTCCCTTCTGGTCAGCTCTACAGTGCTTACCACAGCGCTACTGATAAATTTAGCTTTGTGGTTGACAGAGGGTGGAAACTGGCATGTTCAGGAAACAGTATTTCTGCTGAATAGGTTGGCCTCCCACAGAGCTGAAACTTATGTCATCCCATGCCTACATGAGAAAGATATTGGGGGGCACTTCTGGATTGTCTCCTGATTTTGAGTGTCATCCTCTGTGATACCAGGGATAGCTTGTAATAGTGTTTACATTTTAAATAACCTGACAATATGTCACCTTCCATAATGCCTACTTGAATTATGTGGTGGTCATTTTTAGCTTGAAGGCTTAAGTGTTCCTGCTGTGCTTGTGTTTCCCTCCCTTACTGTATTTCCACAGCCTACTTAGTTTGAAACCCATTGGAAAGTTTCAAATATACTAAACACCTACAAATTTGATAAAAACAGACATCTGGATACTAGACAGTATCTCTGTTAATAACTTCATTCAGGGAAAGCTGAAATGCTTGACATTTATAAGACTTTCGAGACTCCAGACAGAAAAGCATGTTGAAGCCTGGCTTCATTCCATCATGCACGGGACTGCTTGTTTTGGGTTGGGTTTGGTTTGGTTTTTCTTTCACTTTTTCTTAATAGCATAACAGTAGTCCATATCCTTCTACCTGGGGCCACAGAACTACTTTCTGACTTAGGTTTTCTTATCTGACTGGCATGTTGTTTCATGGGTATCAGAAGTAACAAGGCACAATTCCCACAGATGTTTGTCCATCATTCTCTCCATACCTTTCTGGCAATATGCTCATAAGTACCTCTCTGCCGCATTGTAAAACCTCCAATTTCTCTTTCCCCTCTCTTCTGTAATCCACTGTAGTATCCTCAGTTCTTCCCCAAGCTCCACAGCCTACCCCAAAACTTTCTCTCTTCAGCTTGTTTCCCTGACATGTCCTTAGCTACAAACCGAAAAAGAAGCATCCATCGCTGTCTGGCCCAGAGCTACACACGTGCTGAGCAGCTGCTGTACGTTTGGCTGGTGGGCCGGCTGGCGGCACAGGTGACAATGTCACACTGCAACTTGTCCTCCTCTGTGCCCTGAATTTGTACAGCTGTCTCTTGACCCACTGCTACTTTAATGACACTGCTCAGAGCTTCATGTCTTCCACACACACACCTGCCTTAACGCCAAGCTTGGTTGGAAATTACCAAATGTTATTCATGGAGGTTTTAAATAAGGAACTGTGACAAGGGGATCACACATGCTCTTTTCTTTCTGAAGCAAGGTTAGTAAGACAAAAGCATAGAATTTGCTTACTATACTTGCACTTGTTGAGACACAGAGAATACACTTGATCCAGCAAAATGCCAAGTGCCTCCAGCACCTGAACTCTGGTATTTTGACAAATCTGAGATGATTCATCTCCACATTATAAACAGGCATTGAACATTCCTACAAAGTCAAGCCCATGTAGTCAAATTCTCATTTATTCTGCAATGGACTAGAACAGCTTTCAGAATGTCATTAAATACCAAAATGCTGGTTATGCCATAGTCCTTAAATCTCCAATCATTGTGTCACACTATGTATATCTATAAAAAACTGCAATAATGAAAAGGATAAAATTAATAATGGTAGAATTTTATCACATTCTCCCTTATGAAACAATATACATTTATTTTACTATTAAGGGTACTCATATTTTAATGTCCTAAATAGAAGCATATGATTATAAAGAATTATTGTAAAAGAACTCAAAGAATATCATATTTCTCATCAGTAACTATTTCCTGAGAGAACTGTGACTCTTCCGGATTATCTCTGAGGGAAGGTAGGCCTTTCACCAGAATAATTTTCCACTTTTATAATTGATAGAATGTTTTTAAAGAAAGTGTTAAAAATCAGACTTTTCATCTTCCTGAATTTTAATCATTTTTTATTGTTCTGATTTCACCACGAACAAAATATTTACTTATATTCACTGTATGGTTATTGTCTCTTGCCTAACAGATGACTCACAACAGCCCCAGACTAAAATGTTTCAGACAAAAATTATACTTTTTATTTCATTTTCTGAAACTTTTCAGTACTTTGAACCAAAGCAGTAGAATTCATATTTTCAGCCATCCTTGCCACAATTCCAATTTCAAAATCTAAAGAATATGACAGGAAAAAAAATACTGTTAAATCTTTCTACATATGTTTCTTACTTCTCCCAATTAATACTAGCCCTTGACTAAATACCCTCTGTAAGCTTATGTTGTTATTGTCAAGTAGTAAATATGAATTGTTTCCAAGGGGCCTGTTTTCTGGGAGTAAATTAGAAGATGGATACTCTATACAGATGATGAATACTGTACTTAGCTTAGTTTAAACATGTTTGTACATTAATGATCCAAGGTAACAGCAGAAATTAATTACAAGACAAAACTTCTAACAAAACCTAATACCACCTGCAGTGTGCTCTTCTCAGAGTTGTTTCACCTCCCAAAATCTCACAGTCATAAAGAATGCAGGCAAGCAAGTCGCTTGCTTTTGGCTAATCTGCATTTCCAAACAAGCCATAGTTCTGGTACATATCAACAACTGTGTTTCACACACAGATAGCCAGATCCTTATCTTAGAAAGGGTCATTGTATTTACAGCTTGTTCCAATACTTGCCTTGACATCTGCCACTGGCCACTACTCTGTGATTTTGGAAGAGGTGGAGAAGAGAAGAAGGATCTTATCTTCTGTTTAAAAAACTTTATGTGGCTGCGTGCCCTCCTCCTTGCCAATACCGAAGGGCTCAGGCCTTGCTCAGTGCTTCCCTTTGGGCTCATCGGTTACACTATTGCAGCTGAACCGGTGCTTTGTTCTGCTGCCCCGTTTCTGCATATACTCCTGCATCTGTTGGCCATTACAATTAAGATGCCCATGGATGTAGTCCAGGTGCTTGCTGATGGCGGCTTTCTCTCATCCTTGCTGTTTCACCAGTAACAGACTGATCAGATAGAAGGTGATAAAATTGATCAACCACATGATCTAATTTTGAAGTTATTCTGGCTTTGAGCTGGAGGATGGCTTAGATGTCATCCAGAAGTCCTTTCTGACCTAAATGTTTTTATAGTTCTATGATTCCATGGTGTAGGTGGTACCCAGTTCCTCCTTGACAACACTGTCCTTATTCAGTTCTCTCTCCAGCTTGTGTCATGCAGGTGTATGTTTGCTGAGGTCATTCTGAAGCCAAGAGTATCCTCAGCTCCCCCTTACAATTTATTATTCGCTCAGCTGTGGTTGAGCCCTCTGGCACAGCTTTTGACTTTTTCCATCACCTGTTTCTGTATCTGACACAGCTGGAGATAGGCTCTTGGATTAGTTAGAGTCTTGATCTGATCTGCTGCATCTTAATTGGACTTGCTGTCATATGTGAACACCAGAGCCACCTAGAGAATGTCCACTCTTAGTAGCCATCAAGTTGGTAAGTGTTCAATTAATCTTGTCCTCAGGTAGATGCCTACCCTAGAGTGGAGTAAATGGAATTCTTGCACCTCCTAATTCTTTCTGTTGACTGTAAAGACAGTCTAGACATGATGTCTGCAATGAAGATGTCCCCATTTAACAATACGAAGCCATTCATACTGTCTTAGTTAATTCCAAATTTCATTAATGTATGTAAGTGACATGGAGAGTCTCACTGATAATCCTCCTTACAAATGTACATACAAATGCTCTCTTATACACAGACATTTTCCAGACCTCTCTCTTTTTGTACAAACCAGACAAAAAGAGCTTAATGGGTACATATAACATGCAGTAATGCATCTGTCAAAACCTGACATCTTCTTTCATTTTCAGTTTGTGTAGGGGAAGAGAGGGAGAAGTAGGTGGGGAGAATTCATATATAAGTTAACAAAAATGGAAGTTCATAAACACCTAAGTAGAAAAATCTATTGACGGCTGTATTGCTCCATGTAGATTACAGCAAGTGAGAAGTCAGGCATCTGACACGCAACACACTTCTTCTCTGGAAGTACTGTTTTTCAGTCATTTACTTTCCAAGGTACCAGTCAGTTACTATGACTTGTGGATAGGAAATTGTTCTCCACTGTGTGGGGATGAAGAAGTAAAAAAATGCAGCAAAGGAAGGAAAGACAGTACTAAGAATATGTGTAGTAACATCATTCCAAACTGTTCCTACGCTATTACCACTTCATTGCTTGTAGCTCTTATACTGTAGCCCCGTTTTATTTGAAAGCAGCTATGGCCATAATGTGCATGTTCCTGCAGCAGCCAACCACAGATCTTCAAAAATGCCAAGCAAGTTAATATTCATATTTGGATTTTAATTCACCATCTGCAGCTATAATCATTCTTAGGAACATATTCCATGCTCAAAAAAATAGGTGTGCCTTTCTAATATGTGACAACTAAGATATGGT